CCAGGCTAGAGTGCAGTGGCCTCATCTTAGCTCACTGCAACCTCAAACTCCTGGGTTCAAGGCATCATCCTGCCTCAGCCTCCCAAGTAGCTGGGACTACAAGCGAGTACCACCACACCCGGCTACTTTTTCTATTTTTTGTAGAGATGGAGTCTTGCTCTTGCTCAGACTGGTCTGAAACTCCTGGCCTCAAGCAATCCTCCCACCTTGACCACCCAGAGTGCTAGGATTACAGGCGAGAGCCACCGCACCTGGCCAACTGGGTTTTATTGAAAAAAGTCTTCCCTTTTAAACTTAAATTTTCTCAAACTTCCCCATATCTACAAAGAAAAGGTCTCTTAGGGTGACCAACTCAGTTTGCTGGGACTTACCTAGTTTGAAAATTGAAAGTCCCAGCTCCCACTAACCACCTCCCCCACCTTCCCCACAGTGGATAAACTGGGACAATTGGTCACTCTGGGTGTCACTGAGCTAACCCGCACTCTGATCTGTGGCCATCATCACAGACCTGGTTGCCATGCAGGCATCTTCCTGCAAAGATTTGCCTGTAAAACCAAAGTTGGAATGGAAAGAGAGCAACAGTGCCGTTGGCACTTCTGCTTCATTTCACAGTCAAAACAAAATGGATCTATTCTGCTTTTAATAAACCTGGCAAATGGGGTCTCTTCAGTCTGTCTAAAACAGCAGTCTCCAACCTTTTTTGGCACCAGAGACCCATTTAATAGAAGACTGGAAGACAATTTTTCCATGGATGGGGGTGGGGGGGGGTGGAGCTCAGGTGGTGATAGGAGCAATGGGGAGCGGCTGTAAATACAGATGAAGCTTCCCTCACTCACCTGCCACTGCTCACCTCCTGCTGTGTGCCGCCCCCACCACCGCCCCTGTCCCTAAATTTCATGGAAGACAATTTTTCCATGGGGGCTGAGGTAGCAAGCTCTGCGGCCTGGTCCCTAACAGGCTGGGGACTGGTACTGGTCTGCAGACTGAGGGTTGGGGACTGCAGGTCTAAAATACAGTTGTCTTGCCTCTGACATTGAAAATGCAAGACACACTTATAGGAGTCTAAGCACCTGACATGAAAACAGGCTTTGAAAGCAAGTCCTCTTGCTTTCCCTGGATATGGCAGAACAAAGTACCTTAGTTACCTTGGTTCTAGATTCTGTTCCCTACTGAAAGATACCAGATACCGTAATAACATTCCCAAGTGTTTTTGTTCCCTTGAGGGCTAAATCGCAACTCTACCCAATATGTCAGATGCTACAAACTAAAGGATAACTGTTATTTAAAACTTTTATCATCAAAATGATGGTAAACTTTTGGCACACTTTTCAGGCCCACAGGTAAGAGTTGTAGGTAGAAATGTGGATTCCCGTTGAACACTAAAAGGCTGCTGACACCTAGGATAGAGGTTCTCAAACTGAGAATGGCAAAATTAACTTAATGGATTACAACCAGCATTAAAAAAAAATAGAACATATGAATACATCCTAGGGTAAATATTATTTTGTGAAATTGGTTTGGTTTTTATATACAGCAGTCCCCCCCTTACACGCAAGTTAGCTTTCTGAGGTTTCAGTTACCCATGGTCAACCACAGTCCAAAACTATTCAGATATTTTGAGAGAGATGACTTTCATATAACTTTTTTACAGTATATTATTATAATTACTCTATTGTACTAGTTATTATTAATCTCGTGCCTAATTTATAAATTAAACTTCATCATAGGTATGTATGTATAGTGGAAAACAGTATATATAGAGTTTCCGGGGTTTCAGGCATTCACTGGGGATCTTGAAACGTATCCCCCACAGATAAGGGGGGATTACTGTACTGGTTCATGATCCTTTATCTAAAACTGTTGGGTCCAGATGTGTTTCACAATTTCCAGAATTTGAGAAAAAGTTCCATAGTTGGATGACTACTGGGCTAAGTGGAGTTCAAACTATTGCTCAGAGTGAATAGAGGAAAGTGCGACATTGGCAGGGGAGGATCCAGGATGTTCCTTACCTCCAAGCCAGCATCTTGGCATCAGGTAACACTACAAACAATAAGAGACAAAATCATTGTCATATTAAATCTTTTTATCAGCTTTCATTTTTTGCTAAGTAGTATAAATTAATTATCTTCCCATCCCTTCCCAAGCTGCAGGTAAATTGAGAGCTATTTCCAATCTTTCCAGCTGGAAACCAGAAAAGTCAAGTAATCCCCAAGCCTGCCAAGACCATACATTCTGAGGAGATCCAAGCCTTGGCCTGGCTTTTGGTTACTTCTGCATGAAATTGCAATTTTCAGCCATGATTCATGGGAAGAATAAGATCAACCCTGCTAGGAACAGAAACCTCCTCTCCCCACCAGCCAATCAAGAATTATTCTTCAAGTGCTATAGTTCTTTTAGATTTGTTTTCAGGTTTTTATGCGGGAGAGGGGTAGCCGGGAGGGAAGAATAATTCTACAAACCTCTCCTTGTTAACACAAGGTGGAATATAAGTAAAATAGGTAGATGTATCTTTCAGTGCTCGGCCCAGTGACTGCAATTTCATAGCTCTGGTCTGGAACATTCTTAAAATGTGCAGTTGCTTCAACTTTCTCCATTCTCATACCTAACATTCCAAAGTCACCTACTTTGCTTTTCTATACAAAACCTTTCAGCCTAACAGACTTAAGTATCACATAGCTTTAAATTTGAGGAATAGAAAAAATAACCGATCTATTGCCTTGACAACAGGCTGTGATGTCTTGCAAAGCTTGCTTATGCTAAAGTTTCAACAGCGATTTGGCTTCTGAAAAAGTGAGTGTTTCTGTTGAAAATTAGAGATGATACGGTTACATTGTGACGACTTCTTAACACTCGCTTTTCTAGTTCACAAATCTCTATGTTTCCTCATGTTTCAGGGACTCCCTAGGCAGGGACTCCCTGAGAATGGATGGCCCTGGGCAGAATTGTGAAGTCATCACAGACTGCTCCTTATTTACTCCTTTCTCTCCGTGGAAGCCTTTCCCGTAGTCAGACCCCCAGGATTCTTAATCTTCTGATTTCTGTCAAACAGAAAGAAGTTAAAACTATAAATTCTCAACTATCATTTAAAAAGTGCTATAGAAGGAGGGTTGGGCATGGCGGTTCATGCCTGTAGTCCCAGTTACTGGATAGACTGAGGCAGGAGGATTGCTTAAGCCCAGGAGTTCAAGGCCAGCCTGGCCAATATAGCAAGACCTTGTCTCTAAAAAATAGAAAAATAAATAAAAAGTGCTTATATAGGGTGCAAAGATTAAACCAAAGGAATGAATTTCTGAATGGTGGAACTTCAGGGACTTTGGTATCAGTGTAAGGTCTCTTTGAGTGCAAGGGTCTTCCTGGTACCTGAAAGCCCACTCTTTCATAGCAACCATGTCCAGATACTCCTTAAGAGCTGACTCGCTCTCCTAAACTTGCCAAGATAGGTCTTCCCACCAATGTAGCCCATTTACCTTAAGTAAAGGGTACAACAATCATCATGTAATTAATTACGAAACAGAACTGAATGATCCTTTTACTAGTTTAGCTCAAAGAAAGCCAATGAGATGAACTACACAACCATATGCCTGTGGAGTGGGGGATGCAACTAGGTATAAAAATCAAAACTGGCCGGATATTACATTCAGCAGAGGTAAAATGCTTCCACCAATACACATTTACAACAAAAATTTCAAATCCCTTTATAAGCAGAAAACTTACTTCAGTCTTCAGCAAGTAGTGCATGGTCGTGTGTTTTGTACGCTCTTGAGGAAAATTTTTGTTGCAGGTTTTTCCTTCTTGGGTGTACATGTTGTGAACAATAAGATTTTTTTTAAGCAAAAATCTGTGGAGGAGAAATCTCCCAGTTTACTCTTATCGGGGTCAGCTTCTTCCATGTGATAAGGCTAAAAACACTTTAGGGTACATGAAATACTGTGTTTTAAATGTATGAATACAAAAAAAAATGGAATAGAGTCTTTTAAAGGGGTGACAACAGAAATGTTGATAAGAACAAAGGAAATGAGAATGACGATAATGGCACAAAATGACCCAAACCCCTTCTGAACTGCTTGAATATGACATGAGCGCACCGGTAAGAAATTTTTGGTGGTGGGGTTTAAATCTGAACTAATGGAGTGGATGGCTATGGCTGGTAAAGCTGGTGAGAGTTAGTTACAACGCTAATGGCAGGGCCAAAGGACTGGGCCAGTAAGTGCTCAAATGGTTTCATAAGTCTTTAGAAAGACTGGCACATGCATTTGAATACCGGTCAGCTACTGTGACCTTCGCGGCAATTCTATACGTTACCCGCCACCACCACCCCTGCGCCCCCCGCCCCAAACACCTGCTACTTTAAATACATCGAATCTTTCCAAACTGGCTTTGAAGAGTTTCATTTTTCAATAGTAGGTACATCGCCTAAGTACATACCAACGTAATATGACAATTTAAAGGGAATCACATCTTTTCTAACCTCAGGGTTTCCTTTTTGGGAACCCCTCCCGTGTACGCGGAGTAGGGAGCCCAGGAAGACCAGTTCACAGATTAGAAAAGCGATTTTTCAGTTCCTAGTCCTGAGTCACTACTCTGCCCTGTACTGCCTGGATACTTAATGGGAACGAATGTGACGCGCTGAATTCTCCGCGCTCTTTTCCAATTCTTCCGCCGGTCTTCAAAGAATGGTCGTTTGCTCTTGTGCGGCGCCGAAACCGAAAAGCGGAAAACGCCAGCCTCTCTCCAGACAGATCCACTGCCAAAGCCGAAAGCCGGATCAGGGCTGAACTCGAAACACAGAGACGAAAGGGTAAGGAGGGAAAGGAGCACCCTCCGAGGAGATCGACGTGGTACCACCAGGCCAGCACCCCGGAAGCTGCGCCCACCGCCCCCCGCCGGTCCCCGGGCGCCCTCTCGCGCCCCCCGCGCTCCGGCCGCGGTGGCACGTCCCGCGAGCTCATTCCGCGCGCGCGGGGGGCGGGGCCGGCGCGAGGACGCGCGCGCGAGGCTGCGGGCAGGGGGGCGGGGCGGCGGAGCTCGGCGGCTGGGCCTGGAGGACAGCGGCAGCAGAGGCGACGAGCGGTGGCGGGACCGGCGCCGAGAGGCCGTGCGGGACGCGGGCGCCAGGAAGGGAGGAGAACAGAGGTAACGCAGGACAGAACAGGCGGGCGGGGAGTGGGCGCGGGCTCGCTGGGCCCCGAGGGCGAGTGGTGCAGGCCGCTCACCCGGGGCGCCGACGCCGCTCCCCGTGAGGGGGCGGGGCGCCCCGGTCCCAGGAGGTGGTGCCTTTTGTCTGCCATCCCGGGCCGCCCCGCCCCCCCTCCGCTCCCCCCTGCAACTTAGCCCCCTGCCCTTCTCGTTGACGCCTCCTTCGGGGCCCTCCGGCGCGCGCGCTCCCGCCCTTGTTTTGTTTGGACTCGGGGGAGGAGGGGGAGCTCTTCCTTGGCCTTGCGACCCTGCGTCCCAGCGCGCCTGCGCCAGCGTCCTCCGCCTGCCCCTATTGGCTGAGGGTTTGCGCATGCTCTGAGGCCCGCGGCGGCCGGTCGTCCGCCCGCGCCCTCCCCTCACCCTACTCCCTCAGCGGTTTTCGGAGCCGGTTCGAAAGATGCCGGCGGCGGTGACTGGCTGCGGCGGGCCCGCCCCCCGGGTTCTCCGCCCCCGCCGCCGTCGCCGCCATTACGGAGCTCCCAGTGGTGAGTGTGTGGAGCGGTGAACCTTACGTGCCGCGGCTTCTTGCGTCGCCGGGACCGGCGCTGCCGCGTCCCTGCAGAGCGTGAGCCCCGAACTGTCACGACGCTGAACCCTCGCCTCAGCCGCTCGGTGTCCGCCGCCCTGAGCCTTCCCTGCTTTCATCTCGGCCCTGCTCTCCACCCTACCCCACCCCCCCAGCCGTGTACGCGTTCGCCGCTGTGGCCTTGTAGCGTTGCCTCGCCTCTTTGTGTCTCCGCTGCTCTTTGCCGGCTTCCCCTCAGCCTTCTGTGGGCGGGGTGTCAGCTGTGGGCGCTGCTGCTGCGGCCTTGAGCTTTCGTTTTCCCGTGTGGCATAGCTAGACCTTGCTACTCGCTGCACTTTGGTGTGATATGAATTAGAGCAGTACATCGGTGGGTCGTCAAAAAGTTAAAAACGTCAGTATGAGCGTTCGTGAGAGATGGAGGCAGGAGTGGTGACTTGGGAGCTCCAGATCTGAGTTTTGATACCATATTTACCACTATCCGTGACCGAGGACAGTCACTTAACCTCTTTGAGGGACTGTTCTCTCCCGCACAGTCAGAGGACTGGACCAGGTGAACTGTACTGTCCCTTCTCTCTGTTGTCTGTTGCGCTTCCCGACTTTGCATTGCACTGAAAAGCGAGATCCGCTTAGAAATACGTCTAGGCATTCACTTGGGACTTTGAGCAAGCTAGCTTGTCTTAGAGCGAAGTTAAACGTGACTGGTGTCGTTTTGAAAGATACTTTAATTTTGTTTAATCTGGCATAGGCATAAAACTTACTAGATTTTAAAATTTTTATTGCTCTTGAAAGTGCAGTAAATTAGTGTAATTTGTTTCAAAGTAGAGGTAACGCTTGAAAGTTTTTCCCTTTTTTTTTTTGGCTTTTTTTTAAGCTTGGAAGATTGAAGACTGGAAGTTGCTGGAGGAAGTATACTGCATTCTTCATAAATAAATAAAAGCCTTAACGCTTCAGCCAATTAGATTGTGATTATTTTGAGGGAGGAACCAAGTAGTGTCCTTAGCATCTATGTCCAACATAGATGGTACATACTGAGTTCCTATAATGTGAAAACAAATTAAAAAAAGTTTCCGACAATCAAATTAGAGGTATGCTTTTGGTGACGTGACCCATTAAATCTTAGTATGGTGAAAGATTTTAGATTGGGAACAATGTGAGGTTTAGTGCATAACTAATGACATTATAGTGTATTACATATATTTTATAGTGAATTAAAAAATTATAGTACTTTCCCCAAAGTGCATATTATCAAGGATATCGGTAAACTGAAATACATTGTTAAACTCCTACTAGTTTTTCTATTGCTTTCTGTTAATGTAGAGGTAGTAAATCAGAAACTGAGATTTGGGGCTCTTTTCTTCTACAGACCTTTTTCTATTGCCTACATTGAGACAATTTAAGCATTTCCCTTGACAAAAGCAAATCTTTGTATTGCTAATATAACATTAAATTTAAAAAACAAAACAAACTAGTGACCACAGGAGGAGCACATAAACCACAGATTAACTCAGATTATTTGTTTTGGGCACATGTAAGAACCCAGGTGAAAAACGTAAATAATGTTTGATTTACTCTTTCATTTAGCAAATATTTGTTGAGTGTCTGTTCTATGCCCTTTATGTTCTTAGGCAACAAGTATACAGTAGTGAACCAGCCAGATAAGATCCCTGCCAAGAAATAAGCATGACAGCCTAAAAGTCTGATCATTCAGAAGTGCATAATTAGTTAAAAGTTTAGTAAATAGGTACATGGTGATGTCAAGGCAGTATGAATTAACCGTACACAGAGTTATGTTACTTTCTGTAACGAACAGTGAATTTATTAAATGACCCATTAACCCATTAAAGAAAGTACTGCAGGTTGGAGCTTTAGAGTTCTATGACCTTTACTAAGGAATTTCGGAGCTGAGGCAAACATTTAACATTTATCCCAAATAACTGTGGGCTTTATATCTTAGGTATCCTTCACACATAGTATAGGAATAACTACTGTCAGATATCATTGTTCATTCAGCTTTTTTTTTCAAGCACCCACTATATCTATGTTGGACATTGTTCTAGGTGTATTAAAGACCTAGTCCTTGTAGTGCTTACATTCCATTGGGAGAGACACATAATAAACAAGTAAACAAACACATATTAAAATTCAGGTGGTGGTAAATGCTATAAGGAAACCTAAAGAAGCCTGGGCCTGTAGTCCCAGCTACTTGGGAGGCTAAGGTAGGAGGATCATTTGAGGCTACAGTGAGCTATGCTTTCACCACTTCACTCCAGCCTGGGCGACAGCAAGGCCCCATCTCTTAAAAAAAAAAAAAAAAA